CATGGTCAAGCTACAAATGCAACCAAACACAAGAGAAGAGAAGATTTAGTAAAGACAACTGCTTCTACACAGAATATCTCATTATGAAAATGTCCCGTGCTCAATTTAAACTTTGCAACCAGAGGCATGTCTGCGTGGACTCGTGTGGGCACGTGCACGTTTGCTCTTCAGATCTATACTCTAAAATGAAGAAATAAATGTATACACTGAGCAGAACAGAGCCAGATCAAGGCAGCGAACCTCTTCATCTTGGGCAAAGCACATGCAAAGGGGAACTTAGGTCATCTTTGTTAAATTACCTACATTACATTGCTGATATCATTCCAGGCTCACAGGAAATACTATGGAGAAAGGCCAGCACGACAGACAAGAACAAACTTAGTTCCTGGTCACCAAACGCACATGTTCAAACACCAAATGTTCAACAGAGGAGAAGAGGAGCTAGAAGGAAAGCAGTGGGTACCTGGGCAAACCGAGGAGAGGGGTGGGCTGGCAAGGGCCTCTCGGGCACCGTGGGGGGCTGCGGAAGGGGCGGCAGGACTCGCTGCGGCGTCTGCGGCAGATCCTGAGTCTTCACGGGGCTGCTGATGTCCACGACCTGGTACGGGAGCAGCCGCCTGGGACCGTCTCTCTGAAAAAAGCACCCGGCCCCAAAGAAGAGTGAAAAATTTCAACATTATTGCTTTAATAGATGCTTTTTTCACTCCCTTTCTTTTCTGCTCTGCTTTAATCCACTTTCAACACCTCCTCTTTCAAGACGAAAGCAATTAACAGCTTGCAGAGTCCTACTGAAGCACAATCCACCCCTGTTTAGATGCAGTTGTCTAGTGTAAGCTGCCTGCTGTAGCTCAAGGTAAATTCTCTTTTCTGTGCATGACATCTCCACCTATCCCAAACTTGGAAATCATTAATGGATTTTAAATCCGACACCTTCTCCCATTTTACACATTTGCAATTCTATTTGATATTGAGATCATGTAATAATTGTATTACAATAAATTACTTTATTGATACTGAAAATATGTAATGGGCTCTTTTTATATGAATTTAGGGACTCACCTTCTGCATGTTTGTGTTTTGAGGCTTCCAGATCAGATTTTTACCGAGAGATGTGGAGTGAATGTGATTAGGCTCAGATGAATTGGAAGGTCTTGCTGGAGTCACAGACCTGCAGTACAGTATACATTTATTGAATGCAACATTCTGCTTTATAATATTGTTTTAAACAGTAGCCTCTCTTCAGAATGAGATTCTGCAAGGGCTTTCTGACTTTCTATAGTAAACAAGCAAAGTAAAAATTGTCTAGCACTCTGCCAGAAAAAAAAATAAATATTGATTTTTTTGAAACCACTAGTCTGTAAAATTAGCTTTTGCAATCTGTGGAAATGCAGCTTCGTAACACCCAAGAGACTATTCTAATGAATCTAACATTTAAACAGTAATGACCTCAAATATGGAAGTTTCAGTTCACTCGACTGAGTTTAGATAAAAGGCCATACCATATAATGAAACTATTCCAAGCAAAGGGGATAAAGGCAATACTTCCTTTACTTTTTAATTTCTTATCACAAAAGAAAAGAGCTACATTGTCAAAAAGTGCATTATTTATTGACAATCAATGAAGTTAATCTAAATCAGAAAGCCATTGCTGCTAAAATTCAGTGACTGCTTTCATTAACTCTTTGTAACTCATCATATTTGCACAGCTCTGTGATGCATGTCTGAGGTGAGAGCTGTCTTCTTTACAGCTTTCTAGTCATCTATGTTAGAATATAATTAAAGAAAATGATCGTACCTTAGTTTCTCTATTGTTGTCTTTTTACTTGTAAACAGCAATCTCATGAAAGTCTTCCTTTTCAGGTACATGATGGACCCAGCAAAAACAAGGCACAGGATCGTTATCAGCACCCCTATCGTTACACTCTTGTTATCTGAAAAAAAAAATAATAATAATAAAAAAGTTAGAAGTTGCAGTTAGAAACCCAGGCAAGTGAGTAAACCACATATTAGAGACCAATAAACTAGTATTTCTTTACCACAAGTCTTCAATTCTTCAGCCACCTGGCACTCCTCGTCCAGCCTGATGCTGGCGCACAGCAGCAAATAGTAACTAGTAAATCCCCCACCATCCTAAATGGTTAGCACAATTATTTAACTAAGATTATGCCACTGAGATTAATTTGTCTTTACCTAACAATTAAATATTTAGGCTTCTTATTAAGAAAGATGTAGAGTGTCAAACAGAGCTGCTGGAAATCAGCTGGGTGAAATCAGTCACTAAATACGAATGCAGCCATGTGCCATGTGTGACTGAGGCAAGTGTGTTTTATTGAGCTAATCCTTCTGCAGTTTCATGTGCAGAATAGGGATGTGCAAAATAGATCATAATTCAAACACCACAAGTGGTCGTATTTAAATCCATAAGGCAGGGAAAATTAGCTACTCTAGCTGCTAATTTCTGTATTTGTTTGTTCCCAGTATTATCGAATGTGGCACTGTCTGTTTAGATAGCTGGTAAAGCTACCACGCTGTATTAAAAATAGCTTAGAAAAAGTGTTCTGTAATATTGAAGTGTGAGCTTGCAAAACACATTATTTATTATTACCTAGACAATTCCAGCTGGAGAAGACCAATGTGGCACATTTTAATGCTATGCTCTGCAGTTCCCTAGCACATGGGTACAAGGTAAATTGAGAAAGGGCTCTAGTGCTTTAGAGCAACTCCTAAAATAAAACATTTAACGTGCATACACTCACCCTTGCTCAATTCCTGAGCAGCTCTTTCCTTTCCTACCAGCTGGTAAATAGCTATTTATAAAAGGTCTTTCACCAGTGCCACCTAAAGCAAGTGTCGCTGTGGACACGATGGTGATACAGGAGGTTCAGCATTGCAGTTCACTGCACTGCTACTCTCATACAGAGGGAAGCTTTGGGAAAGTATGTAAAAACTATCTATGCAATACAGTTTTAATCTGGTATGGCCAGAAATCGGGTATGGTGATACAGGATGGAAGAAGACAGCACACTATCAAATATAGTCCTGGTTTTCAAAGTAACAGTAGGGCACGTGTATGCCAAGCTCTGGCATTTGTAGTCATTGCATGGTGTGATTTTCAATGGGCACACAACTGTAGGAAACAGGCTGTGTGTACAGGAGATAATGCCATTAAGAGGTGCTCAGCGTAGAATACGTGGGATAATGCTCTAGATTTACCTAACGTTATGACACATACCTGCCAGGACAATAAAATATAACAACTATGGGTGTTAACTCCTCGTCCTCTATTTAGATCAAGACTATTTCCTACATAATTCAGGCCTACTAAACTCATATATCTAAGAAAGGAAAAAAAAAAGGTTTTCAAGTTGGTGTCAGTGCATTTGAATGAAGCCACCGGATTTGCGGCTTCCTTCCACGCTCCTTACTGAGCCCCTTTGTGTTTTCCCTTTTTGTCACGGTGGAAGCACGGGTTGCCGCTCACCTGCCTGCCTGACGGGCCCGCTGTCCAGGCTGCCCCCAAACCCTGGCTTGTCGCAGTGCGGCGGGGCCCAGTCAGCCTCACAGTGACAGTTCTTCTTGTTGTTGCAGACCTTCGAGAACAAACACATGAGAAGTATCTTCACCTGGTGTATATTTTATTTAAAGGAAGGTTTAGGGCTCACAGCCGGTTGTGAATGCGGTCCCCTTTAGGCTGTGCTGCCACCGACCATCACTGCTCACTTTACCATGGCCATGGTAAAACTGCACAGGATGATTGCACAGGATTAATTAAAACACCTTTTGCTTAGCTTAGTCTTGGTCTAGTTGTGCAAGATGAAAAATGGATCAGTAAAAAGCCCTTCCCAGGAGAAGACCGAGTTTCATATGTACCTTTCATTATGGCTGGCACAGCCTTTGACCAAAGCAAATGGGTCATCAGAAAAACTAAGGTTAATAAGGCATAGTTTTAAATAATTAACACTTCCAAAATATAAGGTTTCAACCTATATATTTCAGAATATATAGGTTTCATCCCATTTTTCATCCCATGGGACTTTCATACCACAGAACTATGGAATATCCTTTTACTTTCATACTTTTGGAAATGCTTGTTTGAACTTTCTCAATTCATATGCATATTTTAACTCTGCTGGGCCCATACAAAATGGTCCTGTATGAAATGTTAATGAAAGTTCTTCATGAAGGTTAGACTTTAAATAACAAAATTCTTTTTTTATCACATATTGTTAATTAAAAAAAGATAATTACTACCTGATAAATATTCCTTTGTTAAATAACTTCGCTTCTTGCGATTCATTCAAGGGACACTGAAAATTAAAATATGCGAGGAAAGAAGTATTGCAGTGACTGCCACTGATCTATGACAGAGAAGAACAGATCCCAAAGCCATCGCACGCGGTTTCTTGTCCTGACCAAGGGTTTTGACCAGCTGGAAAGGCAAGGTGATGCTGCACACTTACCCCGCGCCCGTGGCACTTCGTCACACATTTATGCACACCAAAAACACTCGTGTTCTGGCATCGGCGATTAAGACAAATCTGCAAAACAGGGCACAGAGAAGAGTTTTAACGGGCGCTGGAGCTGCTGCTGCTCCCACGGAGCCCCAGCCCTTCCCAGCACGCTTTCCTATTTTATTTCATAGGCAATTAAAAATTCCCGGTGTTTTTTTTCCTAGCTCTGGCTGCATTTGTGTCCTCGCAAGGAGCAGGTGGCTCCTGGACAGGCTCAGGTCTGTAGGTCAGCACCGTTCTGGCTTTAGCAAGAGCCCAGCAGTGATTTACACTAGTACAGCCCCTGAACCCGGGACAACCTGAGTGTTTTCCAGAGGTCATCAGGACATATGGGCTCGTTTGTGTCCTTCGGGAAAGGCGAGACCACTCCAACAGGCAGCCTTCCCAGGCTAAATTATTTTTTGATGTCAAATATAAGCCAGCCTTACATAACGGTACAGTCTTACAGGAAATAAGCAAATACTATGTGCAAAGTAATCAAAAGCTAAGGATCTTTTTTCTGTTGTTTTCCAGTCATTACTTTACTCTGCCAATGTGACTGAAATCTGGGCTAACACAAGATAAGTGCCAGCTAGTAGAGCTATCAAACTGACTGATGACATCAAAATGACTGATGAGGCTATCAGTGATGAGAAGTTACCCTACTAAAATTTGAAAAAAAAAAATAGGACTAAAATGACAATTGCTAGCCTTTGCTGACCAAAAAAAAAAAAAATCAGCTACCCCACACAAAGGTAAAAACAGTGCAAAATTTGCTCCCATTTAACTGCAGCTCAGTTCAGTAATACTAAATGTCAGTCACAATAATTAGCATTAAGCTGGGAAAAGTGTTGAAGGAGAGGACAGGGATGCTTAATCAGGGCACTTATCCCCTGGGGAGAAGGAAAAATGGGAGGAAATTGGAGTGAATTGGCATCAACATGCATGCACGGAGAGAATACGGGCTGATTGCAGCCGCATTCACCATTCAGAGCGTCAGCACGCAGGATCCTGATCACATTGAAATGGCTGCATTGCAAATGGGGTATCTGCGGCTTAGAAAACTCAAGAATATTTAAATTCATATTCTTAATCCATAATACAAATGCACTAATGTCCTCCAAGTAAAACATACAATTTCCTAAGTATTAGCCTGCATATTCTATAGTGGGTATGTGTATGATTAGATAGATTAGAAAGATTAAATAGTCATTAGTAAAACATAATGGGGTGCTTCTCCAGTGTTGAAGTTTCTTTGAAAAGACATTTCATAGACTATTTTATAATAGATTGCTTTAGAAATGTTATAAGGGTTGTTTTCTTGTAACAGGATTGCCACTGCATTAGGAACATGTTTTCAACCTGTTCTCAATGCAGTGTACTAATCCAACATAATTCAAAAGCATTCAGGAAAATCAGAGGCTTAATGAATTTACCACAAATTATCACAGCACTATTTTTTCCTTGCTTTGCCAGCAAGACATGGAGGGTTTGGAAAGAAACCTTCTTCCCTGGGGCAGCTTGTGGCCTCCCATCCGTTCCTGCCTCCTGCAAACCCATCTCTCTGCTCCAAATAAAAATCCCAGGACACCCATACGCAATTTGGGTTATTCTCAAACCAGACATTTTACAATGCTTGCAAAAATAGGACATCACTAAGATCAGTTTTGATGGCTGAACATCAATCCGCTGGACACTATATTTTCTCATAGTTCTTACCCTGATAGCTCTCCCTGCAATTGGAAGTGGTGGGGGCGGATCATAATCAGTTCCCAAATCTAGAGCAAAGCTGGGGAGAAGTTTGCAAATCTACCAAGAAACGCCACAAACACTTGCATGAAAATGCCCCCAAAATCTCAAATTTTGCATTTCCTATTATAACAAGAAGCCAGTTGAGACTAAGCCACCAGCCAGTCATGAGTGCAGAAGCAGCTGCATGAAAACATAAGAAGTGCAGGGCAAGCTGCAGCCCAAGGATCTGCTGAGCCTCAGCCCACAGCTCTTGCAGGGTTTCCCCTTGTGAAACTTTCCCCTTCCTTTTGAACACGCTCAAACTTTTGACATCAGCAACATTTTGTGGCAATAAGTTGCTCAGTTTTCACAGCATGAAAGAGTAATTGCTGAAAATTGCTATTTCCCTTCTGTTTGCTCCAATCTCCTCACCTGATTTCATCTCCAGCTACTCCAAATTTTAAGTACCTGGATTATCTTTTCAAACTGCAAGATCTCGTCGCTGATCTGAAACCCTGAGAGCAGCACTCACTACAAGTGGTGCAAAGGGCAGTTAGAGGGTTCAGGGGAAATCATATGGGGAAATTTAAATGTTGAACCCTGAAACCTCAGCATATGGGCCGATTCAGTGCTAATCCCTAGGTCTCACTTCCACCATGGAAAATGCTGAACTCGTCCCAATTTCGTTAATTACCCTGCAATGTATTCTGCTGTACTCATTTGGCAGAAAGCCTCTATCCAACACGGATGGATGATGTGGGGCTGTCCCATCAAATCACATATAAACACAAGCGATTTGTCTTGCACCAGCAAGACCACTTCAAAACAGCAGCCAAAGGAAAGCAGTAAAGACCTGACTCCGCAAGCACAAGGAACAACAACCACCCCCTAATTCTCTAAAAAACCAGAAATCCCAAAGCAAAACTACGTTCCGTTTTGCCACTGCAAAGCACTTTGCAGCAGCAGGCTGGGGATGCTCGCACGGCTGGGCACATTTTGCAGCCTTACTTTTCCATCTGCGCACTTGGTTCCTGACAGCACGAGCCCGGGATCCGGCATGTCATCCCCTAGGTACACGTGGGTACCGCGGCACAGGATCTTTCCACCTTCCTGAAGCGGGATATTAGTTTCTATGGAAACAGCATTGGTACCAATTACAGGTCGGTTTGCTCCCCCTTGACACTGAATTTTTCCACATTTAGCATCTCTGAAGGAAATAAGCAAAACCAGAAATTAGTTCAATAACCGCGGATGCTGCCAGCCCCCTCTCCCCGCTCTCACGGGTCTGTGGAGAAGGGCCCTACCTGGGCTCGCACTTGGCAAAGGAGCCCTTGGAGTCCTTGCCGCAGTTGCCGTAGGGATCTCCCGCCGAGTTGACCCTCTCAAAGCAGATCCCGGGAGCTGGTTTCGCACCTGGAACAAGAACACATCAGAACTTTCACCTCCTACAAGGTGTTCTTAATAATTGCCGATGTTTTAGGGGGAGGTGTGCCCTGCATGTTGATGAGGGACAGCAGAACAGATGTGCTTGATCAGCATGCTAATTGGAGGGCCCCGGCATGTGCGTTTTCCACAGATATTTGTCTTTCTTGGCATTGCTGAGTAATAAACAACAGACAACTCCTCCTTTTGGGGCAATTTCTAGATTATGTCCCTCTTGAGAAGCCTCCTAGGACACAGAAACTTGCAGAAAATGCCAGATCTATTAAGAAAGATGCAGGCCAGCTGGGGAGCTTTTCTTACAGGAGCCCACATGATTTTAGTGAAAGCCCAAGAGCTGGAGCCAAAGAAAACACTTTTGAAGAAAGCCCTTTTAAAGTCTAGTTCAGCACAATGCGAAACCAGAATAAATCCTGTTGCAAAAGGCAGTGCTATGTGGCCATAAAAACACATGACACAGCAAAGGGAAAATGCTGCAATTAGCTCAAGGAGAGGAGAGGAAACTATCCCCACCTTGAGCCTGATTAAACCCATGCCTGAGAGGAAGAGATAGCTTGAAAGGGGGTTATTCCTACCCTGGCAGCAGAACTAGGGGTCTGGGAGCACCTGGTTCCTGCCATTGCCTTTCCTAAAGCAGACACATTCTGATACCATGTAACTTCTGTGATGGGAGAAATCTTGGAAATCTTTGTGTGGTCAGATTGCTCATCCCTACACATTTTATATGTTAGAAGATAAGGTCCAGTCTAATCTCTTATCCAGAAAAACTCTTGTCCACTATTTTCCAGTTTATGACCCACTATAAAGTGCCTATCTCATAGAGAAGCCTCCAAGGTACTTAGATTTGAAATACCCAAGAGGAGGAGCATCTACCTCACTGATTTGACTGTTCCAAAAATTAATCAGTCCCCCTAGTAGAATTTAATCTCTTCTTTCTAATTTGAAGTCCCAGCTTTTATTTTCACTCAACAATTGTTGCAAAAATACTATTTTTAAAGGGTCTTTTGCTCGGGCTCCTTAGTCCCTATGTTTGTTTCCCAGGAGGATATTTCACAACACATTCGGGTCGCTGCCAACATTTCAAGCACTCCAACAGGCCATTTCAAGCACTCCAACAAAACAAGACTGGAGCTGGAGATGGGATGGGAAGGAGACCCACTGGCTACGGCTCCGAGCAGACACCTGCAGGGCTGTCTCCATTAGCCACGGATAAAGCTGTGCTGGGAGGCCGTTTTTCAGAACAAATCCTCTCACACTGAACGTGAAGCAGAAGTGTTCTGCTTTTGATAGATCAGCGCAAGTCAAACAGAATTGACAATAAATGATGTGATAGCCTAGAGGCTGAGAATATACCATTTTTCACAACATCCCCTGATTTTAGCAGAGACAGAATATCTGAGTTAACATTAGTTTTCAGATGTTTTGAGCTGCTTCCAAGTGTGTAAGCATATAGCTGTGAGCAAAACATGTATCATTTATTTAAACCATCCTGAAGATTTCTTCTAAAAGTCTTCAAAGAGGAAGAAGGTTAAAGAAGGGCTGAAATTCCTAGTGAACAAAACACAAATATGATCGTAAAACCTGCAGTTAGTACGTCTCCTTTCCCTAATAACTCAGAGATTAAAGCCTCAATTAATTATCTGCATTTCACAGTCAGACGCTTGACTAATAGTATATACTGCTGAACAGCAGTCTAATGCTCTTAAGGACAAAATACTAAAACTTGGAGAGGTTTAGGAGGGCACCTTCTCTTCCTCCTAACACTTTTTACATGCAGACCGGAGAACTCGGAAAGCAGGGCACAGGAGGAGCAGAATATGAGCTGCTGCTTCCCCGGAGAGAAGGACAAGAGCCTGAAATTCTTTGGAAGATTACCATCAAGCTTGCTGAATTCAGGATATTTCTCAAGTCTGGAAGTATTAAAAGGGACTCACACAGGATCCTTTCACTTCTTTTCATTAAACCGCAAGCAATAATCATAAATCAACAAAAGCATCTAGACAAGGCACTGTGCAAAAAGCAAAAATATGAATTCCATTTTCAGCATGTAGTTTCCTCCTCATCTTTCCAGGGCAGCGACATTAACTATTCAGCATGATACAAACATTAAAATGTGCATATACTATGCCAGCTTTAGAACAGGGAGAGAAGGAAAAAAAGGCAATATAAGTAAAAGGCCAAGGAAAACTAGCTGCTTCTTCGCCAACATCTGCAGAGAACGACTTGCTCAGACCTACCTTCCCAAAGCAATAAGGACCTGTATCCACCATAACCCTCTGCAAGGGCCTTCCCGGCTGGGAATCTTGTGCCAAGAGGTTCAAGCAAAGCAGTGTCACTGCAGTGACTGGTGGCTTCCTTGCAGGACACGGTGGCAGCAGTCCAGAGCACAGACTGGCCTTGCCGGCATGGTGGGGAGCTCCAGGGACTGCCAAGAGCTAAAAAACCACCTGTAGGTGACCTGACAAAGGTCTTGGAAGGATATGGGATTCCTGAAAAACTTGAATTTTAGGGTATATATAATCTCTTTTAATCTGGGGATTTATTTTTGGTCCTTTTTTGTGTGCTTGTTTTGAATGTAGAAGTCAAGCATGCTACACATGATGGAAGCCAGCATTTGGGAAGGGGACCACATCTGTAGCATCGTTTCAGGGCTCAGGCAGTGAGTTTTACCTCCATCCAACTCTTGGCAAGAGCACAGATCTCCTGGACGACAACAAAATGCTCCCCACCAGGCTCCAAGCACCCTGCGTATGAAAACACCTGGTATCAGGGATCTTCGGGAGCTTGGAGACCAAAATGTAGCTCCATTTTCTCCTTCCTAAAGGGAAGTATAGCATGCTGTGGCTCGGGATTCAGATGGTTGTTCCTTCTCCTGGTTAATTTCTGTCAAGATTAGGACTTCATTATGGCTGAAAACTTGTAAGACCATGCAAAACCGAACAGATGGAGCTACCAAGTTAAAAGGAAATTTTCAGAGGATGCTAAAGGAAGAGAATCGTAACAGCGTGTTTTTGGAGGAAGCCCATTTATCACGATTGCACCACAAAATCTGAAGCAGAAAGTGCCGCCTTTCTCTATTCTGCTACCTCAACGGGCAATGACAAAATGATTTGTGAAGGATACCCAGCGGTTATTAAGTGCTTTGAACTGGATGAGCAGAGTTTATTTCACTTTGCTATTGATAATTATGGTATCGCGACCCTGTAATTAAGGTCCTGTCAGCCGTACCGGGCCAAGGAATTAAATCAGACGTTTAAAACTGCAGCAGGTCAGAGCTCAGCGTGGAGCTGTCAGCCTGGAGACACTTCCCCAGCGCCCGACACGTGTATTGATGAACTCGCTTGAAGGTCACCGCGCAGAGCAGCGCTGTGGATCCAGGAGCCATGCGGAGGTGCCGGGTCCTCCCGCATCGCCCCGGAGCTGCCTCCACGGGCAAACACCTCCACGCAGCCAGGAAGAGAGGAATTCCTGACCGTGGTGCTGATTGCATCAGAGCAGAACACCAGTTAGCGGATTGAGGGTGGAAACGAGGATAGTTAGCCTCAGTTCCCAATAGTATCTCAGACTTACGTTATAAAGTGTATACTGTACCTATACAGCTGTGGGAAAGGAAAAAAGGCACAAGCTGGTACTCAGAATACTAACAAGCACCATAAAAGACTGTATAAGTAAAGAAAAGCATAAAAATGCAGTGCTAGGTGACACATGGTTTGTATCTGCATTTCAGATCTCATTGGGTCTGTTTTACTGCACTGAGGATGCAGCCCACGATCTTCCCTTGGCCTCTCTCTTCATCTGGGTGATCCCTGCTGTTAAGTCTGAAAGAGTGGGATGGAGACGAGCTGCTCTTTCTGCATTTAAGGAGTGTGCATACATATAGCTTAACGTCTGTCGCATCCCCAACCCAAAATGGCCTGGCCATACATGTGCAATTATCAAGATAGTTTGGATTTCCTGGTTGTGCTAAATATTATTTTCAATTTTTACAGTGCTCAGATAAATCAGTATTCTCCCACGAGCAGTTTGATCAGCTGATCCAGATGGGGCAACCCTGTATTATTTCATCTTTACTTTGCCTATAGGGCCATATTTGGGAAACAAATCCAAAGCTCTTACATCAGTGTAACAAATATTGACATTAAAATTACGATTGCTCCTGTGTAAACAAATTTATCTATTGGATGAATTTAAGTGTGTTCTAATTACTAAGTCAATGTCTGCCACTAGCTCCCCAACTCATTGCATTTTCTCCTCTTGGGGAAAACATACTGACAAACATTTCCTTTCCAGCCCTAAAAGATCACTTTCTAGTCAATGTAGAAAATGGCAGCAGCCTAAAACTGAGATCTTCTCTTCCAAGGTAGTCAATAATCGCTCTTAAGTAGTTTTATCTGTGGATCTAGTTGCTCCCTGAAAATGCCAATGTAGTACTAGACATTATACCAGGTGCTGCTATTGCTGCATCTTTCAGTCACGCTGGTATCAATAGGTCAAATCAGTGCAATTTGACATTTTGGAATATGAAATAAAAAGGTTTCAAGTACTTCACACATGTTGCTCTTTAAAGATAAAAATGACAGGAATTAAGGAGAGGAGAGACAAATCTCTGTGTTCTGAGAGCAGAGCGGAATGACCTGGGTCTTCGACAGGAGTTTATGGCTCCTTTGAGACCGCCCAGGTGCTCCCTTCTCTTGGCATCCCGCCGTGGATGGCGAGGGCTGGCGGGAGCGCGTTAGGGATGTGGTGTGGGAAGTCTCAACCTGGAGAGCAGCAAGGAAGACCAAGCACAAACGCAGCGTGACGTGGATTTGTCCAAACGGGCTTGCAGGGAAAGGAAAAGCCTGTTTTAGTGTGTGCCACCTTCTTGTTTTCACTGCAGTCTGCTGGAGGGAGGCACGGGGACGGCCGCTCTCCAGCCCCGGGCCGCATCCTCTGGGTAAAGAAAGGTGGGAGTCCTCCTCCCTAGACACACTGAACCTATGTGAGGGGTGAGATTGGCTCGAGGAAGGCAGATCTCACAGAAACGCAGGGAAAATAACAGTTTGGTATAATTACTATTCAGCTCCAAATCCCCATTTTTATTAGATAGATAGGAAATAATAGAAAGTATTTCTCCAATTGAACTGAACTTATCTGTTGAACATAACAAAGAAACCCAATGTAATGCAAGCATTTCTTTCTGGGAACAGACTCTTGTTGCTCAGCCTAATATAAACAAGCTCTGATAATGCTCATCACTTTTCTTTAACCAGATAGATATAAAAAAAATTAGGATCAACATTTATCATTGGGTTACTGGACATCTGCGACCTTGTGAATAAAGAAAGATATAGAAAAGAATACCCTGATAAGGAATTCAATATGCATCAAATACATTTTAAATAAAAGTTATTATATTTTGTTCTGTGTGGATTTATTCTGCTGGGAAAAAAAGAATTAATGTAAATGAACTATGACCTGTTTCTGCTCTGGTACAGTTTGGATAAAAATGAGCCAACAACCCACACAATTACCCTCCACCTACGTTTTAAAAAACATTTTTAAACAATGACAGTAATCTGGTAAAAGGTTCAAATGTATCCTTTTGATACAAAGCCCAGAGAAAATACCCTGGAATGTTCTAGTCTCCCTTTTCTTCTGCAAATCAAAGGTGGGGCTTTGTTTTGTTTTGCTAGTTTTCCATTGCTGTTGGCTTTCTGATTAAACACGAGTTTAAAACCTCTGGGCCACTGGCACCAACAGGCAACACCCTGCTCTGGGCATCCCTTTGCAGGCTGTTAAACATGGGGAGAGCATCCAGGAACCCACCTTGTGCCCTCGACCCGGCTGCTCCCTCGCTCAGCAACTCCATTTTTCCATTTGGAGAAAGCATCTGTTGCTGTCACACCATTCTCATTAAAAACAGAGAGACAGTTCTGGTCCCCCCTGTGGAGTCTGGCTCCATTAGCTCCACTAGCAATATTTCTAGTTTATCCTTGCACCAGTGAGAGCAGAACTAAGCCTTGCCATTGAGGTTTGGAGGCAGCTCGTTCTTAGGAAACGGACCTGGCACTGGAGCTGCGGCAGTTCGGCTCCCTGACCTTCAGCCGAAATTTCTCAGCAACAGAAATTACTAACAGTCCAGCTGAGTAAGTTTCCATGGCATGGGAAACTCTTTCATAAGGAGATTTTGTTTTGTACAAGAGAAAATAGCTCTGTATCCAGGGGATGAAAAATCCCAGTATGACTAAGACTGGAGGCTATAACCGTACATGCCTCCATGAGCTCATGTTCAGTCTATGACACGAGTGGGATTCACAAGGGTGTTTCAGATGCATGATTTGCACCATGTGGGGACTTTAATTATGAACTGGAACTCCTCTCACACATTACACATCACCAAGAGAGCTTTTCCCATCTATCTCCATTAGCGGAGATCATTATTTCTTGAGCTGCTTTAATGCTCTTTAAAAAAGATTTGCAAATGGTCCAACCTCCTATGAAGAGACCATATAAACACTTTAATAGACTTCTGATGAGGGCTCTGACCAAGAGAATGATATGCGTCATTATATTTATATATATGTTTTAAAATGGAGTCAAAAGCACAGAGATACTGAATTGAAAGGAACTAAGAGAGTGGAAGAAGTGAAAGAAAGAGTAAAATCTAGCTCTAATATAGCACAGCAGCATTCAAAGTGTTTTTCCAATTTGAGAGAGGGGGAACTGAGATGCTGAAGGAGACGTGACTTGTCCAAGGTGACTCAGCAAGCAAAAGAATCCAAGTTTCCTGAGTTATCACTGGTATTTCAGTTGAAAAGCCAGAGGACATAACAGGGAGGCAAACTGCCTTCCTGGAAAATCATTTATTTAAGATAACCCAAGAGATCATGCTATTAGATTTTTGCAAAAAGTCAATGAATTCCCAAGGGGGAATAAAATCTCTTTGCGCTTCAGTGCATACGTGGCTGAGGGTGTTATTAGGAGCTGGGTTTATAGGGGAACACCAATTAATAGATGCACACACCAACACAGCAGCCTCATGCTAATACCAAATGCTGAACCCTGGTTTGGGATGCAGGCAGACATCTTTTATGCATTGCAGATGGGCAGTTTAGAGCATGGCCGGGGGTCTGCAAACCCCTCTGGAAAGGGAGGAGATTGTAACGTGACTCAGCAGCATCCAGCCCTCTGCATAAGGCCGTATCAAAGGTAACACCAAACGGTTTGCCCGGGTTCTTCCAGCCAGTCACTGCAGCGCTGCAGAACGAGCAACCCTCTCCCCGGCACTGCCAGCACCAAGCAGCACTTCAAATCAAGAAGAA